AAAAGCAAAATTGTCCAAACCCTGTAAAAGCAAAATTGTCCGTATCCTGTAAAAGCAAAATTGTCCAAACCCTGTAAAAGCAAAACTGTCCATATCCTGTAACAGCAAAATTGTCAAAATCCCGTAACAGTAAAATTGTCCAAACCCTGTAAAAGCATAATTGTCCATATCCTGTAAAAGCAAAATTGTCCATATCCTGTAAAAGCAAAATTGTCCATTTGTTAGATTAAGCCTGAATCGTTGTATCTTAGAAATGATTAAAGATATCTTATTGGAATTCTCCGAGGTTTTATAACAGTATTGGATTCTACTTTGAGCAATATATATATATATGTACGTATAATTATTTTTTTAAAAAATATGTGTTGTGGATTCTGGGTTGAAATCCGGTACCAATAAATAACAAACGCCAGGAATGAATGTATGAAAATAATGTATTAACGTAATAATACAAACTGGTAAAGCAGGTTAGTAGTTCCAGGAATACGGGTTAGTAGCAAAATATATATATAGAGTCTTTGGTATTGAAGTATCGCTGTATGACTTCTTACTGAGTCTACGTGCTCGTTCATCAGACTCCTACAACGCTGTTACCTCACCCCTCACTCTTCCGGTTACCTACAACCGTTTACTCTGTCACTCTCGACTCGACTCTTCCGGTCTTGCTCTCGTCTTACTCTCGTCTCGCTCTTGCAGTAGTATATGCATATACTGGGTGAGTTCATTTGTGTAAAAACTGGAGGACCCTTCAACAATATGAATCATTCGCTACATAAGAGTTCTCATGTTTCAAAAACAAGATCAAAAAACCTCGATATAATTATTAAAATTAAATTGATTTAAAGTATCAAGCCGTTTCATCCTCAAGGGAAAATTTAGGAAACTTAGTTTTAGCTCTACTTTTCTATGGAGCACTGTTTTTAGAATTAAAAAAAAATACTAAAGAACTCCGGATTAATAACCTAACGTGTTCTTTCCTATTTTGCGTGTGTTTGTGTGTGTGTATAAATATATATATATGCCTGTGTGTGTGTGTGTGTGGAAGTAGTAATGGTACGGTGTAGTATTTTAATAAGTATTTTTTTTCAAATATTTTTTCACCATTATTCGATTATGTTCTTTTAAATACTTTGTTTTAATATTCATTTTTTCAAAAACATTTTTATTTTTTAAAGAATGAAAGAATATTAAACTTCTTTTCCCAAAATTCATGGTTTTATTTCGTAAGATTTAAATGTATAACCTTTAAGCATTTTGCTAAGTGTGCCGTGATATTCTCATTTGCTGCTGGATGTGCCGTTGCTTAAAAAGGTTGAGAAACATTGCCCTAGGGGAATGCCGATTCAAATCCCTTTTCTCTAATAAGATTTCTCAAATATCCAGATCGGTATATAAAAATAAATAAATATACAGTTTAATAAATAAACGGAATATATATATATATATATATATATATATATATATATATATATATATATATATATATATATATATATATATAGAGAGAGAGAGAGAGAGAGAGAGAGAGAGAGAGAGAGGAGAGGCACGGTGGAGTAAAGGATAGCGGCTTGGATTGAGGAATCGCAGAGCCGAGTTCGAATTCCAGTCGAA